TATAAATTTTTTCCCCCCACCAACTGCTGTCTCCCTTCACCTTTCTGTTGTCCATCCCATGGGAAGGGGTTATATGTAGATCATTGTGATAGGTCCCCGCTTTCTCCCCACAACTTACACTTACCTTCTTGGTATCGCTACTCTCACTATTGGTCCTGAGGGGTTTATCTGTCCAGGATTCCCTGCATTTCCAGCTCTTATCTGTACCCGTGTACATGCTCTGGTCTAGCCAGATTTGTAAGGTAGAATTGGGGTTATGGTAGTGGGGGAGGGGAGGAAGCATTAAATAACTAGAGCAGTGGTTCCTAACCTTCCTAATGCTGCGACTCTTTAATACAGTTCCTCATGTTGTAGTGACCCCCCAACCATACAATTATTTTCGTTGCTATTTCATAACTGTAATTTTGCTACTGTTATGAATCGGGCAACCCCTGTGAAAGGGTCATTTGATCCCCAAAGGGTCGCAACCCACAAGTTGAGAACCGCTGAACTAGAGGAAAGTTGTATGTTTTGTCAGTGCTATACTGCACCTTGACTGGCTCATCTCCTCCCTGTGACCCTTCTGTAAGGGGATGCCCAGTTGCCTACAGATGGGCTTTGGGTCTCCACTCAGTACTCTACCTCATTCACATTGATATGATTTTTTGGTTTTGGGTCTTTGATGCCTGATACTTGATCCCATAGACACCTCATGATTACACAGGCTGGTGTGCTTCTTCCACGTGGGCTTTGTTGCTTCTCAGCTAGATGACTGGTTTATCTTTTTCCGCGGCTCTGTTTATCAGTGTATATATATATTTGCTTTTTTCAGAAGGGGATCTGGAAGTCAGGCTATTACAATCTTCCCACAATTTCAGAAGTTGTTCTTGAGAGGGATTGAGAGCAGCTGTGATTGTCTCCTCCTGGGGACCCAATTGTGCCAGGACCATTTGTTGAAGAAACATTCTCTTTCCCATTTAACGTTCTCTGGCCCTTTCCCCGAGATCAATTGTCTCTAGGTGGATGCGTTTATATCAGGGTTTTCCATTCTGTTCCATTGGTCCAGGTGCCTTATCAATGTACCAGTACCGGGGTCTTTTGATTACTGTGGATGGGAAGTTAGGTAGGGCAAGGGCTTCAGACTTTGTTCTTCTTAAGGATTTCTTTGCTCATCCTGGGTTTCTCCCGTTTCCACATAAACTTAGTGATTAATTTTCCCATTTTTTTTAAAGAATGCAGTTGGGATCTGGATAGGAATTGCGTTGTATTTATAGATTGCTTTGGATAGTATTGACATTTGTGTGATGTTAAGCTTTCCTCTCTACAAATATGGAATATTCTTCCACTTATGTAAATCTCTTGTAGTAATGTTCTGTAGTTTTCTTTGTACAAGTCTTTTGTTTGTCTGGTTAGTTTTATCCCTAAGTATTTCATCTTTTGGATGGCTATTATAAATGATGCTATTTTCTTGATTTATTTTTCAAAGTTCTCTTCATTAATGTACAGAAACCCAAGTGATTTTTGTATATTAATTTTTCAAAATCTTCTGTTGTTTCCAACTCGCGCCCCCCACCTTAAAAATATTTTTTTTTGTCTTCGGATTTCTCTTCATATAAAATCATATCATCTGCAAGTAGTGAGAGTTTCACTTCTTTACCCATTTAAACTCCTTTGATTTATTTTTATGGTTTAATTTCTCTGGCTAAGACTTTCAGCACAATGTTAAATAAGGGGCATTCTTGTCTGCTTCCCATTCCCAGGGGTAATACTTTCAGATTTTCCCATTGAGAGAAATGTTGGCCATTGGTGTTTTTTTTTAAAATATAGCCTTTATTGGATTGAGACATTTCCTTTCTGTTCCTATCACAACCCAAGGCATTACCACTGTGCCACCAGGGTTCTATTCCTATTTTGCTGAGTCTTATCAGGAACGGGTGTTGGATACTGTCAAATGCCTTGTGTGTTGATTTAGTACAGTTCTTATCTTTTGTTTCCTTTGTTTTTCTCATGTTGACCCATCCTGTGTGCTTAGTATGAATCCCACTTGATCATGGTGTGCTTTTTGGGAAATTGTTGGATTCTGTTAGAATTGTGTTGAGAATTTTTGCATCTCTGTTCATAAGGGCTCTTCATCTGGAGTTTCCTATCTTGGTAGTGTCTTCTTCGCCGGCGTTTGGTGTCAGGGTTACACTCATTTCATAAAACGAGTTTGGGATTTTTCTGTCTTTCATTATAATTTTCTTGAACATTATAAATCATCCCCATGGGATCTATAGTAGTCCTATTGATATCACCATTAATTTATCCAATTGTATAGAATTTAAAACACTGTCGAGGAACAGGTTTTTAGACCAAAATTACAAGGGTTGTTGATTTGCACAGACTAACAACTTCGGTGACTGGACACTACTTTCACAATGAGAGTTGGAGATAGGGTGAAAGTGTCAATAGGCGCATCCACTATGCCTGCTGGATTAATAGGAAAGCAAGAAATGCATGGTCGTCTGGAGTTGCTATTTATTGGGTACTGTGGTAGTTGGATTTTCCCCCCTTTTAATGGATGTTTTTATGTTAACTTGAGTGTATATGAAAGTGCAGGAGTGGTACCCAACCTGTCAATCATTAAACAGCCTGATGATGCCTATGTGGGGGTGTGACCATTTTGTAACGAGGTGGGAACTTCCGTCTCTGCCACTTCCTCCCCATCGCACTGGGACTTCACTGGGAATCAGAGGTGGGTCCATGGGGACTTCCTACCCTGAGGCAAGTCAGACATGCTTCCAATGACCTTGGATCCATGCTACTCTGCACCCACTGGCCTCTGATCGTCCTGCTTCCCACTTTCCTTTTCTGTGTCATCGGTCTGCAACTATGAGTCTCAAGAGGGACTGATGGACTGGCACTGAACTTACGGACTTGAGTTGGACTGTACTGCGATGTCTTCTTGATATAAAGCTTTTTCTTATACATAATGAGTGGCACTGGATTTGTTTCTCTAAACAACCCAGCCTAACACAGGCGCAGCAAGAAATGTGAACTCCAACGACTTCCACATCCACCGCCTTGAGATAGTAGTTACTTCCTCTCACACTGGGGTCTTATGGCCCAGAGTATTTCAGCTCCGTTAATCTGCTACAGGTGTTGAAGGTAATGTAGAGTTTGCTTATTGGCAGCTCCAAATCAGATCCTTCTGGTGTGGCCTATGAAGGATGTTGTACACCTCCAACAGGTTTTTCCAGAAGGGGCCAGTATTCGTGCACACACTCTTAGCCATGCACACATACACAGTGCACATCACATTTATATGCACAGCCTGCACAGTCAGCACCTCTCAAACATTTTAGAAAGCCCTGTATATAACTGTGTGTGTGTGTGTGTGTGTGCACACGCACACAATGGGAGAGCAAGTCTGAGTGTAAGATACTAAAATGTGGCAGAATGCTAACATCAGGTAAATCCAGGCTGTTTTAGTTAAATTATTCATTTGCCGTCAGTGTCATTTGAAATCTTTCAAAATTAAAGGTTGGGAGGAAAAGAGGCTGTTGAGAAAGAAGTCTAACTGTCTACATTTTCTTTCAGCTTCTCTGTAAACTACAGGCAAGGTCACCTTTGTAAAATGTTGTAATGTGCATTGTTATTCCCTGTGATAATGAGCGACATGTTTAATCTTACATTGTATTTAGTGATGGGTGTCACCTTCTCACGAAATCTGGAGACCTGCAGGCTTTTCAGACAGAGCATCCCAATTCTAGTTGTCATTAACACACACCCTGAAACTCCCACCAGGAAGGCCCAGCCTCCCCTACACCAGGTAATCCCGAGCCAGTGGTCGCCAAGGTCAGCTTCGTTAGGAGCACTCACTCACTCGCACTCTCTCTTACACACACACTCACACACATTACATTTCATTGCTAACACTCATTCTTGTTCGAGACAGACACAATTAAATGATCACGACTTGTATTCCCATCATCAAACAACATTTTCTTGCATGAATAGCCAAAAAATTTCTTCTCAACACTTTTAATAAGAAGCTATAAATAAATAAAGTTTTAAACACTCCTGGTTCAAATGAGTCTCCGTTTGGGCCAAAGCCACCTGACTTGTTGCTCAGACACGTCTGCCCTCCCCACACCCTGTCTAGGAGCTGATCGTAGTTGAGTGTGTGCCAGGAGTGGCCTCTTCTGTCCTTGTGGCCCCCGGCAGACGCCTGGCTGGGTGGAGTCTCTGGGTTCAGAGGTGGCTGCCTGTACCATAGTGTCCCAGGAGATTCTGCAGGAATCAGAAGCCCTTTGCCGAGAGCAGGTGGTCTATGAGGTGTACAGGTGCTAAGGTGCTATGGGCTCTGCCAGTCAGACCCTGTTGGGCACCTCAGCCCAGGGCTGGTGGAGATAGACTGTTTTCTGAATGCAGCAAGGAAACAAGGAAAGACCTGTGCTTCCAGGTGAACTGGGGCCAGGGCTATAGAACATGTTCCAGGATGCAAAAACAGACAGTGTGCATCAAGCTTTCTCGGAAGAGCCCTGGGCTCTGGGCAGAAAAGGGCCAAGTTTCTGCTCACCTCTCCCGACAGAAGCTATCATGGCTCTCAGGGCCCCAGGTCGCCAAAATGAGATTCCAGGACTCATTTGGCTCCCCTCAGGGCCACACCTTCCAAAATGATGCAGCTTGGGGCCAGTTCACCCCACACAGATCCTCACCCTCCTTTAAGAGACCGTGGTCATCAGCTTACTGGCTCCTCACCTCAGCGCTCGCCCACACCCCGAAGGAGCCTAGGATGGCAGCACTGTGCGCATGGAGTCAGGCCTCACATCCCGCCCTGAGGGCCTAAGGGCTAGACAAGACCAGTTAGAACAGCTTCCTGGGGGGCAACTTCCCTCAAGGGCACGGTCGCTCTGCTTGTGCGAGAGGCTCCTTGCTCACAATCCCGTGCCTTCATTCATGATGGCAAGAGTAGGTGCTTGAGGGAAAGGGTGCGTAAGCCTCTGGCAGGCGCAGCTCCTCCCAGGTGGCCCCACAACATTCCTGCCCCAAGTTAGGATTATACCTAGTGCATCCACTTTCTCTCCTGGAGATCCAAGTGTGCTGGCCCCCGGGGACTGTCCACCTCAGGTTGAGAACACACGCTTAGCTTGCTGGAATGTCAAGTCTTGTCCCTCGCACAGTGAGGGAACTCCCTCTGGGGGAAGAGCCCACTCTGGGCGGTGGAGCATGGAACACAGGGAAAGAGGCATAGAGGTGAAGGTCAGAGGGTGGTAGGGAGTGGGTGTAAGGACACAGGCTGTGGGGGCATAAAGTGGGGGTGTAGCAGGGACAGGGTGCAGGATGACATTTATAATGATGTGATATGGGTCATAAGTGAGGCTGTGGGCCTGACCAACTTGGGAGAGGGGAAGCAGGCAAACACGGGGGTAATCCCAGGAGGCAGTGAACTGAGTGGGTAGGTACAAGGGAGGCCGCCCAGAACCGGTTTTGCAACCTAAGTTGAAACTGAAAGCCCGAGTCCCTCCTTCTCGGCCATCAGAAACCCTGCTGCCCAGGCTGTGGCTGTTGATTGGGTGTGCTCCAGCACCATGACTGCATTTTATCAGGGCTGTGAGCGCTGCAACACATAGGTCAAGCAACTGGGACTGGGAGCCAGGAGGCTCCCCAGCAAAGCCGGAGCACTGAAACTGGGGAGGGGAAGGGTGCCTTCACCTCCCAGACCTCCCTGACTGGGCCTATTCTTCCCTGGCTATAGCTTTCCCACTCTGGGAAGCCCATTCTGCTCGGGAAGGGGAGCAGTGTGGGGTGGGCCCATCTCTGAGGACTACAGGTAATGGGGTGGGGGAAGCATAAAGCTGATGAAGTCTGCAGAGGGGAGTGAGCTTCTCTTGACCCTGAGGTCGTGTTTTCTGAGCTGCAGACAGGACCATGTGTGGTGGGGGTGGGGGAGCAGGGGGGGCCAGGAACTCCATTCCATCACCAAAGAGCTTCAATTTCCCAGGGAGAGGATGTCACGCAGGCCCTGGAGGACCAAGAGGCCAAGAGGCAAGGTGGGATGTGGTGGGTGCTGGCTGATAACCCCCTGGCCGGATAGGCATGGGGCTGTGCATAGATTACTGCATAGGTTGCTGTGGATCTCCAGAAGGCAGGACTGGCTCCACCCGACTGGTCTGCTGAGCAGGGTCCGGGTCCAGCACAGCTGCCCTCACCTGGTCACTTGGTCATCATCTGTCACTGCCCTCTGGGGACACACTCATATGTGCTCTCATGGTGCACTTGGGCCTGGTAGGTCCACTCATGTCGTTTTTTTCCGATTTCAAACCTTGGCTGCGACAGAAAGGAGCCAGGAGAGCTGGGAGGACCCGGCCTTTACTGACCAAATACCTTTCAATCAAGACTCCTTCACGCCCTTGGAATCCCACATCCATTCCTAAGGACCTCGGCTTTAGAAACCGTGACGACTTCCCCAGCCCCTCCGGCTGTGCCATTTCCAACCCCTTGTTCTTTGCAGGCTGTGCCGCCCCCTCACACACACCTGGGCAGTCTCTAAGCCAACATCCTCGGTGGGGGCTATCCGTGGGCAAGTCTGTGAGCCTCCGCCTGTCTCCTGTCCCCTGGGGCTCTTTGGCAGACACCATGCCTGCTTCTCAACCACAGAGCTCGAGTCCTTGGTGAGCCCTGCTCTTGGCCCCTACCCGGAGAGCCCCTCGGCAGGCTCTACTACCACTTCTCAATGATGTGGCTCATGTAATCCTCCGTGGGCACACGGCCTGGCTCCTCCGTTTCCTCCCGTGGCAGTGCCTCCTTGGCCCGGTGGAGCAGGCGCTCCTCGCGGCTCCGCAGGCGCTGTTCCCGGCGCTCCAGCTGCCGCTTGTACTGATAGCGCTGCTGGAAGAGGTCCTTGGCGTAATCATAGAGCTGCATGTCCAGGTCATTGAGCTCCTCAATGCGATGGATGGTGTCCTCCCCGACTTCCACGCCACCTGCCCGCGTGCTGTTGTACTGCATGAAGGGCCGGATGAACTTGAGGTTGAACGTCCGCTCGAACAGGTACTGGGTCTTGCGCTGGAACTCCGTCAAGCCAAAGAAGGCCATGTCCCGTAAGTTCTTCTTGGCGCTCTCAAGTAACAGCTGGGCTCGCTTGCCCTCAGGGATGAAGGACAGGTTGTAGCAGCCCACCAGGCTCAGGTCAGCGAGCATGCGCACTTGGCGGTTGTTGGCTAAGTTGTAGGGGCAGTCCATGAACTCCTGTAGTGTGCAGCCCGACCAGTCTGTGCCCTCGTAGCAGGGGGGTAGCTCCTCCGGCGTGGGTGTGCGCCCATCACACATATGCAACGACGTCTTCCAGGTGGCGCCCCGCTGCACGTGCCGCCACTCGCTCAGGTAACGGGACACAGGGTCTCGAAGCAGGGTGATGTAGTAAAACTTCCTGCAACAAGACCAGAGAGGCGGTGAGGGCGGCATCGCTGGGGCTGTGCGCGCACGGGGCCCGGCGCTGGAGGCGGACCGCGAGTCTGCTCTCAGATGACTGCCCGCTGGGAAGCTGCAAAGAATCTACCAAGGGCCCGCAAATGCCCAGCGGCTCCTCGGACACTCAGAGGACCCCAGCCCAGGGAGGAGAGGTCGTGTGGTCCTTACTGGAGGGGAGGGGGGATCCACAGCAGCCCCTCAGCAGAGGGGAGAGCAGCTCTGGGGACCGCCTTGGCCCTGTCTGGGGCAGGATGTCTGTGGGGGCTAGGCCAGGGCTGAGATGACCCCCAAGCTCCTATGAAGTAGGGGCCACTGGAGTAGAGGGGTGAATGGCGTGATGGTGGCACACGGCCCAAGATCATGGACCAAGGGTGGCAGTGCCAGCTGTGTGGGTGTGACGCCCTGGCTGAGTCTCTTTTATTTCCCCCAGGTGTGACACATGTGCAGCGGTGTCTTTGAGAGCTGAGGGAGTGGTGGGCTCTGAACAGCTCGAAGTGGGGGACAGCAAACTGGGTTCTGTTGGTGCTTCCACCCCAGGCTGTGGTGCCCTTGAGCTCTCTCCCCAGCTTCCGCAGCCCACAGGGGCCCAAGACTGGGCATCTCTGCCCACACACCTCTGCTCTCTCTTCTCCCCTGCCCAGTGTTGCCTTGTCTCTCAGTACCACCTTGTGGAAAGCCCATGGGCACCCTCATCTGCTTCCATATCAGCAGCAGCTTCAGGCCAAGTGTGCCCAGGGGTGTGATGCAACAGGGAAGGGCTGGCAGTGCAATGTTCACTCGTCGGGGACCAGAGCCCTGGGTTAAGAGTAGGCAGAGTTAGGGGGTATACGAAAGCCATGTGTACCCAGCACCTTCAGGGCCCAGGGAGTAGGGGAAAGAGCCCCAAGAATCCCGGAAGCAGCTGTCCAAGGCCCTCAGTAGGTTCCTTGCCAGGGGTAGAGGTCATGAGAAAGTGGGGCAAGGGGTGTGGGCCCACAATTCCCCATAGAAACCAAGCTGAATTCCCCATAGAAACCACTGTACAACATTACTGAAACAGCCAACACACACCAATGGGCAGTCACGGTCAGAGCGTGCAGTCCCAGGGCAAGAATGGAATGGACAGACACACCCCGCACTGGTTCCCCACTGGGCCCAGGGCCTGCCCCACCCTGCTGACCGCCATGGGAAAGAACTCACTACGGATGGTCTCCAATGGGATTCCCAACCCCCGGAAGCCCCACCTACTCCACAACAGTGATCAAGACACAGGTGTGCATGCAACCGCACCAGCATCCTGGGAGCCCCCGCCCACAGTGCCAGCCCTGTCAGCAACTGCCCCCATCTCACTCGAGGGCCCCCAGACCCCATACACCAAGAGGGAATGAAGGGCTTGCGGAGCTCCAGAGGATGTCAGCACAGCCAACCCAGGTCAGGCTGGCTCATCAGGCTGTCCACATGGCCCTTGGGTCATTCTCAGCTGGGGACCCCCTACCCTTGTGGGTCTCTGCAGGCCCTGGGGTGGGCAGACAGATGCCACACATCCCCCATCCTCTCAGCCCCGGGCTATGAGTCATTCCCATTTCATAGCTTTCAGCTCAGGTCAGGATGCCCTATACCTGACCTAGAGCAGGAAGCAGGGAGCAGGAGCTCAAGAGCTCCCAGTGCTAAGAACCGTGGTGAGTAACCTACAGGCCACATCATGTGCACAGGCGGGTCCTGCTGACTGGGCTGGAGGCTGGGAATACGGTGGACTTTCTGCCAGGAGAACATGGGTGTCATGGGGTCTCCTGGGATGTTGTCTGTGCTGTCTACATCCACAGGCTCAGAGGGACAGATGAGGCCTTGGACCCTAGACATGTTGGGAGCTGCCTGGCCAGCACTAGGCATGTTGAAGGATTAAGAGGCCAGGCATGGAGCTGTGGGCCATATCATCTGTGGAGACGGATTGAAAGGCATGATGAAGGCATGCCTGGCTCCCACCTGGGGTTGCACGTGGCTCACCCTGGACAGCAAGTAAGGGCCCTTGCCCCAGGGAGCCCTGGAATGAGCAGGGAGGTGAAAGCAGGCAAGGGCCACAAAATAAATGGCCATGCCACACTCCTGCCCTGCTCCCTGCACCAGATGGACAGTGTCGGCTCAGAGCTCTTGGCACCCAGGGCCACTCCTTCAGGAAGCCATCCCTCTCTTGGATATACCGTGGCATCTTGGGCGTGGCTACGTACAGCCCAACACCAGAAGATCATCAGACAAGGGGGTTCCACCACACCCATGTTCCAGATGGAGAAACTAAGGCTAGCTGCTGCTGGGTGGGACTTATACCCAGGGGGGTGCAGCCCCAAACCTGTGCTTTTCTCGGGCTTTGGGTTGGACAACCAATGGAGCATTTAGGTCTTCACTTATCCAGCAAGGACACAGGGAACTTTGGATGGGCCCCCGCCTGGCTTCAGCAGTACCATGGCCTGCATACAGGACTGCCTGCCCCCACATTTGCCATCTTCTTTACCTGCCCCAGTGGTGGGGACTCTGTGCCTCTTCCACTCTGCCTGGATTTCCCCACACCCAAGCAGACTGCAGCCCTCGTCCATCCAGTCCGTCAACCAGCCAGGACTGACGGACTCCAGGCTACTTGCCCACTCCATCCTGACCTACCCTGGCAGTCCCCCAAGGCTATCTGGAAAGTGGCAGGGAGTGGGAGGAAGGGACTTTATGTGCCTGGGCCACGTGAGTGCTGAGCAGCTGTGGGGCCACTGCATTCCAATGTCAGCTTCTTTCTCTAATGTGGGGCTGACCCCAGTGCAGGGCAGCCAGGGTGAGGGGCTCCAGGTGATCACGCTGTGGGCAGGGCACAGGAACTTCCCTGCCGCCTAGCTCAGCATCAGTGTTGACTCTCCTGGGGCATGCTGGCTCTGTTGCAGGTGGCCCTCCTGGATGCTCAAGGCGGTGCAGCTGCTGCCGCTCCTCCTTGCTGGCCCCGGGCAACTTTTCCTAAGCTTGGTCTGTGAGAAGCCTGGCTCCAGCCTCCCCTGACAGGCAGGCCATGGATAGTGGGTTCAGCACGGAGCAGATACACAGAGGGAATAATGCGTCCACTTTGAGAACTGCTAGGCATGGTGACAGGTCAGGACGTTACCAACTGCCACTGCTCACTGGTTCCACCCACCTGCCAGAGAAGAAGGCACCACTAGAGGTATTAGTGAGCAGAGGGGCCTCTAGCCAGAAGGAAGGACAGGGACCTGAGGCCCTGGATCCCTGACTTGGGCCACTGCCAGCCTGTCTAGGGTGGCTCACAGGTAGCCCAGCACTACGAGATGGAGTGAATCTTCTGTGTGGGCAGAGGGCATGCTGGAGCCCTGAAGGGGAGGGTACTGGTCCCTCTCTCTGGTAGATGCTGGTGTTTACAGCTGGAGCAGGCTGGGGTCTGACTGTGTGCGTGTATTTTATTGATATATTTTGAGGCACTTTCACTGGGGTCTAGATCTGTCGTGGATATGTGCTCTTGATCAATTGGCCCTTTAATCATTATCCGGTGTCCTTTCTCTTACAGTGGGTTCTGCCTTAGTCTCTTTGATCAGAAATTACCATCGCCACTCCTGCTTCCTGACTGCCATGAGCTTTATATATTTATTCCCACCCTTTGATTTTCAGTCATGCCTGCCTTTGGGGCTATGGCGTGTCTCTGGCAGATGGCACAGAGATGGCTCTGCTTTCTGACCCACTTTGCCTACGGCCTCTTGACTGGTGTGGCTTGCTTTCCGCATATTCTGCAACAACTGCTGAGAAAGAGGCACTTGTGATGGAGCCGCTCGTTTGCCAAGATTCTATCAGGTAACCTTAAGATTCATTTCTACCTGGCCTGAAGGTAGTGAGATCTCACAACGATGGCTTACAGTCAATTACTGGTCGGCCTATTTGTCTACCCCGCCTCACTACTGCACTTGACTAGTCTAAAAAAAAAAAAATTCATTTCTATCATCAAGGCCAGATTTTCCAACTACTGCGTAATTCTTCCCCTTTGTTCCTAACTTTTCCATTTCTATTGCCAGTAATTACCAACGCATCTTGTTCAAAGACTGCCTGTCTCCCACCCTCAGGCCTCACTGAAAGCACAAGGCAGACAAAGGAAGGTCGAATTCCTTAAGGAGAACAGTGAGACACTAGCTGGTGGGCTGTGATGAAAAGAAGCCACAGGTGGACTACGGCCCAGGATGAGATGGGGGCCGCGGTGCCGCGCAGAAGAGCGTGGTGAGGGTACGTGGGAGAAGAGATCAATCCCCCAAACTCAAACTTCCCTGCCTGTCTTGGGGACTGCACACGGTCTAGAGGTACTGACACATGTGTGGGGTAGGAGTGTGGGGGCACCATGCTCCTGGATAGGAAGCACTACCCAACCCAGGCTCAAAAGCACCACCCTCCGAGTGGATTCCGACTCATAGAGACCCTATAGGATGGGGTAGAACTGCCCCTGGGAGTTTCTAAGACTGTAACTCTCTGTGGGAGTGGGAAGCTTCATTTTTCTCCCGAGGTGTGGTTGGTGGTTTTGAACCGCTGACCTTGGGGTTAGCAGACCAATGTGTACGCACGGCGCCACCAGGGCTCCTAGGAAGCACCAGGCACGGTCTGAGTAAGAGTCTGTGCACTCAGTGACTGTGTGTTCACTGCTCGGGGGGATGTGTGCACTGGGGACACCTGGGGGACCTCTGGCAGTGGCAGTGGAGCAGTTTTTGCCTGCACACAGGTGGGCACAGTACGATAGCCTTTGCTCCCCATGCAGCAAGGGAGCAGCTAGGCCTCCCGCCACGAGTCTGCAGAGCAGCCTGTTTGTAACTAATCTCTCCAGCAGGGCTGAGAACCAGGGAGGGAAGTGGGCAGGAGCCTTCTCAAGTATCAGGCTGATGTAAGGCTCTACACACTTGGCTCTGAGTCACCGTGCTCCCCGCAGAGCCGTGTGGCTGCCGAGGATCAGGAGCACCTGGCAGGCCTCTCCACGTCACCCTGGTGATGAGCAATCTGAA